TTTTGTACTCATAAACCAAAACTTTGACTGATGATATGGTCTGGTTTAAGAAGCAACAAAATGCTCCACCTAGGATTTTATGTTGAAATCCTGCCATTAAAAGCTATTCCTTATGGCTAAATATTTATCTATAGCTTTTCTTTAGATAAACAACAACAACAAAGCAGATTTTAAATCAGAAAATTCTAATCCTGGTCTTATTAATAAATAGACATGGGATATTGGGAACATTGGTCAACCTGTCTGCATCGATTTCCTTGATAAAAGTATAGAATTGGACTAAACAGCCTTAAATGCTATTTTAGGTTCTCCTGTTCAAAACAATAATGCTTTTGTATTTCCCCATATGGATGTAGATAAGTAATGATATCTTTTTTGGTGCCTAGGGATAGAGTTAACAATTTCCCCGTTGACTGAAATTTCTGTCTATAGTGTGCATTTATATCTCTATGGTACTTATCCCTTGTACTGTCATTAAGCATATTTTGTACTGTTGAAGAGCATTTTTTTTTCAGGAGGAAATTTGTTGTTACAGGTGGAAGCAAAAATGAAAGTGTTGAACATTACCTTAAAAAAATAGGTGGGATTTTTATTGGATACGTGTTATACAACCACTAACTTTTCGAGCTCATTTTGACAGGTGGTCATTTTCAAGTTAAGCCATATGCTTGTTACTAGTTTTATTAACGTTCTGATTATAAGAAGGAGTATTTTATTTTAAAGTTGATTACAGTCAGAGTCTGGCCACAAATCCATGGTTTTATATAATTTTAAAAATTAGTATTTTCTGAAGCATGAATAAAAAGATTTGTCTTAAGGAAGAAGTAAAATGATGATGATAACGTCAGGCTTCCAGTCATAGGTCTCAATGTGAATTAGAGCTCAGCCTCTTAAACCTTCTGAGTCTCAGTTTACTTAATTTGTTCACATAGTATCCATATCTCAAGGGCACTGAAAGACTCAAATGACACATATAAGTGAAAGCATTTCGCAAGCTTCAGAGATGCATGATGATGAAGCATCCTGGTTAAGGAAGGAACAGGCTAAATAAAAGGACCAATATGTGGCCCCCAAATTAGCATTTTCACTAAACTGTTTCAGTGAGATGCTCAATATCTATCTTTTCAATTTATGAAACAAAACAAAACAAAACCAAACAAAAACTCAATCTAAACTGAAAATTCTAAGTGAATTTTCGTTGGTGGGCTTAGCTACTAAGTAACTGATCGGTTTTAACAGAGTTCTGAAATTCTAGTTGGTCAAAGATCTCTTTTCAACTCCAGTGCAGTGATTCTTAGAGGCAAGGAGTATGTAATTCTTTCAGTCTGTGAACAACAACAAAAGCAAACAATAACACTAGAATCATTATTTTTCAGTAAGTGACTTATTGCTATTTTCTGTTATGAAATGGCAGATTTTTTTTTTTTCATTTTTGCCTGCCCTCATTATAAGAGTAGTCATTTATAGAACATAGTTGTTGCTAACTATTGTAGATTCATGTTTAGCCTGGGATGGGGGCAGTGGGGTGACACATGAATGTCATGCCCTTGGTGATTAATCCTGCCGACCCTTGATAAACTACCTCAGCCAGTCCCAAATTTATACACATGGGCTGGGGAATATATTTCTTCCCTCAAGCCCCAACATATCTGTAACTTATGTGCTAACAATGTAATTATTTAAACAACATATACAATTAACAAGTTAAAAATATTACATGAAAATAAAATACTTACAATTTCTTTGGCAACAAGCCTCACCCCCAGTCTGACTTTATTTTACTAAATTTACCTCTGTCAAATATATATTATGTCATGTGTAGCTACTAACTCATGGAGAACAATATGCTGTTACATTAATTGAATCCCTTCTTTTTTCAAAAAAATTTAAAAAATACGAAAACAACTAATTTCATTATTTAACAGAATTATTGAAAGGGTACTTCATAATAGACATTGTGCTCTGGAAAAACAGAAATGAAAAAAATGGACTGCAGACTCAGAGAAGTTACAGCCCATGAGGGAGACAGATATGCAAACTAGTAATGACAAACTTCCTGGGATATAGAGATGAATATGACAAGGTCCCCATCTTGGAAGAACTCCCAGTCTACTGTCATGCAATTTTGATCTAATGTGATTTACTCTTTTAAACTCAGTGACTTTTAAAGTGATTAACATCATAAACATAATGACTTTGATTTTTACCCAAATAATTCCCACATTTAGAACCAGCTTAAAAGAAGCCTCCTCAAAACTCCCAACAGAGCTGAAAAGACTTTTTCAATTGAGAATAAGGAAAAATCTACTATGAAAAATTCAACTATTTCCTTGGCTTTGTTAGTTTTGTATCGAGTCAAAGCTACTGAAAGATGGAAG